AAGGCATAAAGCACAAACTCTCCAAAGCATTGAAAGAGTGAAAGATGTGAGTGCATGACCATGAAACATGCACTGAAATCACATATGGAATGATGCCAAATCATGAAAATTGTCCAAGCAATGCATACTAGTGGACTGAATACACAAAGCTAATGAGCTAGATTGAACCATGGCTATACGAAGCAATGCATGCATGACCAAAAGCTTCTCAGAGTTAAGCCAAAATCATGCTAGAATGATAGTCAAAAGCATGATGTATGTTAGGCCAATGAATGGAATTGCACTACAAATGCATGGAGCATGCAAGGGGCTATCAAACCAACCCAAAACAGAGTTATGCCATGTTAAAATAACCCCAAATACATGCTAAGATGGAGTCAACATAAGATTAACAAACATGCTCAAACATGAGGCAAATGAGGCAAGCATCCAAGATACAAGGAGAGGGGATGACCCTCCCCTATTTAAGACCTCAAAACACAAGTTTTACCACTGGAAATCTGTTGGATTTCAGTGGTTAAAAGGCCAAGAGAAAGTGATCTCAAGGGCCTAAAGTGATGGTGTAAAACAATGCCAAACAAGGCACAAGAGGGGGGTAGAACACCCCCAACACAACAAAGACCTTAAACAAACATTACAAGCATGCAAAATCAGAACTTTTTGTAGTAGAAAGTCAAGCCAAAATAAGCATGCAAATAGGTCCGAAAGCTTAATAAAAAACAAGGGTTTAAGAGGTTAGAAGCTCACCCTTGTAGAACCACTCTAGAGCAAGAACTCCAGTAGCTTTCTTGGATCAAAACCAGTCCAAAAACACAAAAACTAACTTCAAAGTGCCTCAGCAACAAGAGTATGGTGTTTGAGTGTGTGTTTGTGTGCAATAGTATGATGAAAATGAATTTTTCAGCACAAAACAAGAGAGAAGGGGCAAATATAGAGACAAAGATGTATATGTATAGCTCAAGCACTTTTTCTGAACCTAAGGCAAGAGGGGGGAGGTTCTCTTTTATAGAGAACCAAAGTTTAAGCTTGTTGAACAAGCTTAGGCCTTCAAGCCATCCCTCCGTGTATGGAGGATGGTTTCTGTGCCCTCCAGCTGTTACAGCTGGCAAGGAAAGATCTTCAAAAAGGTGTAGGAAAGCAGCCGACCACTTGAAGTGGTCAGCTAGCTACTTACACTGGTCGGCCGACCAGTGAAAGTGGTCTCCTATAAATGAAAGTGGTCGGCCAAGGGGGAGAAGGGTTTGCACACAAAAAGCAAGCCAATGGTGTGGTGGCCGACCACTTTTGATGGTCCAAAGACCACAAAAACCAGTTGGCCGACCAGAAAATTGGCTGGCGGGGAAGAAAAGTGGTTTTCAAGGAGAGAAACCGGTCTCCCTCCCTTATTCCACCCTCCAAGCAACGAAAACAAGGTTTGTGCCAAAAACAAACCAAAGAGGATGCAAGACAAGAGTCCGGGGGTCGAGGCGCGCAGCCGGAAGCTTCGAAAAATAGTCTACGGGCACCAAAAGTGGTCTACAAGGGAAAAGTGATTTACGACCACAAAAAGTGGTCTCCCAGACTTCAGTGTCCCTTTAGGCAAAGGCAACAAGGCATGGTTCGAAAACCAAGCCAAGAGGAGAACGTTAAGCGGTCTCAAGACAAGGCGCGCAGCCTAAGGTTTCGGAAACTAGAAACTAGTCTCCAAGAGGGAAAAGTGGTCTACGACCACAAAAATTGGTCTACGGACCTCTCTCTCCCTCCAGGGAAGGTCAACAGGGCTTGGTCCACAAACCGAGCCAAAACACAAAGAGTTCAGAGGCCCAAAGACAAGGCACTCAGCCGGAAACTCCAGAAACTCGAAACGAGCACAAACATGCAAAATCACCGAGCACTCAAATGATGATGTCTGAGTCTTAAGGTCAGTCAAAAATGGGGTGTCTATAGAGCTGAGGTTCTTTGAGGCTTAGTTTGAGCTCCTAAGGGTGGTTTAAGCTCAGAATTGTGACTGATTTTGTGTTGTGCTTCAAGAGGTAAAGGACTTACCTTGTAGACTTTGTTTTAATCAATTGCTTGGCTATCTTTTTACACTGTTTTGACCTAGTTTTTCAACTATAAAAAAAAATTCTGTTTTTAAGGTTTAAAAATGGTAGTTTAGGTCTTAGTGGGTTAGGGGGTTGTCTCCCCCCTTTTTGCCCTTTGGCTTGCGAAGACTTTTGTGCCATTTCTTGCCACCTTTAAATCAAAATTTTTGGCCCTTTTAAACACTAAAATCTAGAGTTATTTCAGTGGTAAAAAGTACGTTTTGAAGTCCCAAAATGAAGGGGTTAGCCTTCCCTCCTTGTGTTTCACTTCCATGCCTAGTTAGCATTACATGATAGCATGTTTTTGTGCCTTAGCTTATTTTCAGCATGTGTTTGCCTCTGATTTGGCATGATTTAGCTCTGTTTTGGGCTACTTTGGTCATGTGGGCTTTGCTTTGTATAGTTGTAGTGCAAATGGCTTCACTCGCTTGGCATTTTAGGCCTCTAAACATGTTTTTCTTTGAATGATTGCATGTTGTAGTGTCCTTTAATATGTAATTTCAGTGTATATAGCTTTGTCACATGCTCATTTATTTCACTCTTTCATTGCTTTTGAGAGTTGTGTCTTGAGTCTTGTTTGCAAGTTAACATGCGAGCATGTTTTTCTAGCCTTTCATGCCTTAATATCAGCATGTTTTAGCCACTGTTTTGGCATATATTAACTCTATCCGGAGCTGGTTTGGTCAGTTGAGCTTTGTATTGCATGCCTATGGTGTTGTGATCTTTACTAGCTTAATGCTTTAGGCTCTTAAGCATGTCTTACATGTGTTGCTTGCATGATTTAGTGTCTTTTTGCATGCCATTTCAGCACTGAAATATCTGCAACCTCCCTCTATTCTTCACTTTTTACTTTGTTTTGAAAGTGGCCTTGAGCCCCTTGTTGGCTTGAGTGTGGAATTGAGGCTCTCATGCCTAATGGTTTTAATCCTCTCTTAAGGGTTTCTACTAACCAACAGCATGAGGCCTCTTTCATGCTCAAGGTACTTGTGGCTTAATCCCTCTTTCCAATTAGAGGACTCTCACTTTGGACTTAATCGGTTAAAGGACTAATCGGTAATGTAAAATGTGTAAATAAAACATGACAAGTAAAATTTGAGCAAGTTAAGCATGTTATGTTGCATTGCATGTGTTTGGATCGGACGTTAATCCAAACACAAGAAAAGTGGGACGTTTCATACTCAAAGTGATGAAACGTGTCATTTTTCTTGGTTACCGTCACCCTTGATCATGCATGATAGGGTTGTGGTCCTTTGAGTCTTATTTGTGCATTCATTGAGCATATACAAGCTTGGTTCTTTGGCCATCATGCATTAAAATGCTTGGTTGATGGCTTGAGAGCCAAGAGCTACACTTTTTTGAGCTTGAAAGATGATAAGGACGGTAACAGTACACACATTTCTTGAAAATGCATTGTTTTGCCTCTATTGCTCTCTGTTGCAGCAAAAACAGAAGTCCAGAAATAGGGGGTGGCTGACCGGTCACTTGCAGTAGCTGACCGGCCACTTAAACTAGCTAACCGACCAGTTAAGGTGGCCGACAGCCACTTTTTGTGGCCGACCGGCCACCAGTGAATTTTTGTGCAAATGTGTTCCTGTGTTGGAGTAGAGGCAATCTGGAAGTTAGTACAGTTTTCAGAGATCAAATGAGTGCAAACAGAGGCATCTGATGGCAATGCCAGGGCATTTTCAGGTGAAGCAACCGAGCATGCATGCATCGCTCGTCCCTCAAGGCCGTTTAAATCATTTTGCTAGTTAGTTAGCGTAGCAAATTATTCAATTCGTTTTGTAATATTTTAATTAGCTTAGTGTAGCTAGTTATTCAATTGTGTTGTAATAATTAGTTAACTAGAGTAGTTAATTAGTTTTGTTTTGTAATAGTTAGCTTAGCTTAGTGTAGCTTAACTTATTCATTCGGACCCTCCTTCGTGAGGGCATGATATTGTAATAAGTGTGCATGTGTGTGTGTATGTCTTCTAACCCCACGTCTTTCTCCCTTTTATTTATCCGCTTTCGATGGTTAGATTAGGGATCATGTTTCGATTAGCATAACTTATGCTTGCATGTTTACATCATTCATTTGTCATGCATGTACCGAGGCTTGGCGCATCATTCAAACTGCATTGTATTTCAATATACCTATTTGAATACGTATTTATCACATGTTATCAAATCGAATCATGTGCCATATTAGTATCCCAGCCTATTAATTGCATTATTGCATGTGTTGCATTAGTCATCTAACATAGTTAGGATCATGCATTGTTTCTAACTAGCTTTTGTTTTGGCTTGGAGTACTCGGTAAGTTTTACGCTTTAGCATACTTGCATAAGTGTGAGTGTTGCCATGTTTCGCATGCTTGCCATGAGGCTATTTGCTTAAATGATAAACTACATGAATGCCTGTGGATAAAGGCTTTGTTGCTTGAATCGGAACAATTCAACGAATGAATGTTTTAAGCCCACTTTGCGAAGTGGCAAATGATGTTTTAAGCCCATCATGTTTGGTGGCAAATCCGCGTTTTAGCCCACTTGAGAGTGGCAAATTCAAACCATTTTCGAAAACAAACATGAGTTGAATCCGTTCCAAATCTTGCAACTTAGTCTATACTTGCTTGTGTGCATCACGTAGTAAAGTTAGCTAAATAATCAGAACAAGAACACATGAGGTTTATAAAATAGCATATCATGATTAGTAGAGGCCGATCTTTTGATCGGGCGAGCGGGGTGCTCATTTCAGGACCTTCCCCACTCGTACCCAAGTTCTCGAGCCGAGACAACTTTGGTGATGACGGACACATGGCCTTTGGCACGAGTCAGGGTTTCCTAAATTTCCCCAAAACAAAATATTTAGGTGGCGACTCTGTAATCTGGCAAAGTACTCCAGTTTTGGCATTATTTGATTCAAAATCGATTTTCCAAAATGATTTGCCGGATTGAACTCTTTGGTGTTTATCAATCTCACATTGCACTTTGTGAGATTAGATTCAGAACCGTGACAGGAGTCCAAACTGTAGGACCAATTCGACCTCTCTGAAAGGGGGCGCGAAGAAAGTCGAGCTACAAGATGTTGCAGCAATAACAGGAGCAACAGGTGCAAGCACACATTTCAGAATAACAGAAAATCAGCTAGCTTCCTGCAAAGCCAGGGCAAACTCAACAACCTATAGAAACCAAGCCAATCAAGTGTAAAAGGCATGAGCTAGAAGAATTCCAATTGTAAACTAATAAACTAAATTTAATTGTAATATTCTATACTGAAAACAAATTGTTCTGCTTGAGAACCTTTCTGTCTTCATAATCATCAAAGAAAGCATCATGCACGACGACCCAAGGATTGAAATATTGAAAGTAAAATACAGAACCCAATGTTCAATCAAATGGAATGCCTAAGAGGCAAAGTATTGCAGATTATAAGTAAGCAACGTAATGTACAAATCTTATTAGATGCTTACACTAATAGTAATTTCATCATGATAACGATAAGATTCGACAGATGGACCATTTCCAATAGCCGAAAGCCCATAACCTCTGCCAGAAGACCCTCCATGTCCAATGCCTATCTCGTCATTAGGAACATTTTGAGAATGATCTGATCCACCTTTCCCATTCTTATGCAAAATAAGAGCAATTAGTTTAGCAAGCCAACAAGAATAGGACCAAACCATCACAGAAGGAAGTGGAAGCATGGACTAATGCATAAATTCTACCAAAGAAAATTAAAGATTTAAAGATAACCCCTCAATTCTTAGCTACACACACTTCATGCTTACCAAAATTGATATTTTCCCAAGCAAGTTTTTCACAACTTACACCAAACACAACATTTTAGTTGTCTCAAAAGTAGATGCGACTGCAACCCATTGCAAAACTAAAAATAGATGAACAAGATGTCTGAGGTACTAACATCATCAACCTAGGGCTCATTAATAGTCATCGAGGTGACACAAATGTAATAGTTATCCATGCTTTTATGAACAAAGTTTCTAATCCCTGTTGAATTCTTGTGCATAGTTTCCCAAGCAATGATTTCAACAAAATCAAAGCCCATCCTAGTTCACTTGCCTAGTGTTAGTAAATCAGCTCTATACTGATTCATTTAAAAAATCAACTAGATATATTCATGGAAGCTAGTTATGGGTGTTCAAACAGTCAGATGCAATAAATACGCCTCATCAAAAAGGGTGAAGACAACAACCAAATAAAGAGAGGACGAAAAGGAAACAAAAATTATTAAACTAGTAGTATATTATCCACTTCGATGTTAATACATTATTAAAAACTATGCTGAAGAAAATTAGAATTTATCCAAGTATAGTCCACTAACATGGTTCCTGTAAAATTTATCCATAAACAACTGGATACCTTGTTTGCTCAAGTTACATATGAAGTCTCATTCTTTTTAGAAATTAGTTGAGCTTCTAATTAGAAAGAATACCTTGTTTGCTCAAATTTTCTTAAACTAGTTGGCCCACCACATGGTCAAGGCAAATGGACTTGATACCATAATAGTGATGTAGAAGGGCTTGTTTCCCTGTTATAACAATGAGGATCATTGCATTCCAGTGGTTTCAAAACCAAACTTTTATTAGCCAAAACTGAAAAGAGAAAGAAATCACATACAACTCGGACTAGTTAAATTTGTATATAAAAAAAAGGGAGCTAGCAATAGTGAGTTGTTGCAAAAGGGGAACCACAAGGTCATAGAGCAAAGCAAGTGAAATTTAATCCTAGTAGCTAGCAGCAACATATAAAAAATGAAGTTGGTCACCCAATTTGAACTGCAAGGTCATAGAGCAAAGTGGCAAAAGTGCAAATTTCAAATGAATATTGTGATTTTATTACATTTTTAAAATAAGATAGGTTTCTTTAGGTAAATTAGACATTCAATACAATTTTTTAAACTAATCCATACTTTTTCTCTGTCTACTTCTTTATTTTGAGCCAAAAGTCCCAATGTCTAAAACCATTGCACAGAATTGACTTAAAGCTATAATCTTTTATCAAACAGTATATAAGCTCTGTTTTGTATATACATACTTTTATGTACTTTAAAAATTGTTCAATGTGTTGCTTTCAAATGAATGTTTATCATGAATTAAAGAATCAATTTCAGAAAAATGCATAATTAATGCTGCTTAATGATAGAACTTTTAAGATTATGCTAAAATTATACTCAATTTGGCCAAATAAATAAAACTTAGCACAAGGACTTAATCAGAGTATACAATACAATTAAGCCAAATACATATCTGATAAGTCACCACACCTTAAGCAACATGAGCAGCCTTTGCAATCCAAGTCTACAGTTCAAGCACAACTCTCTAAATTTTACGTCTTCCATAGCGCTTTTTAAAAAAACATTGTCTAAAAAACGTGGTTATAGATAACTTTTCTTGTGGTGAAACGAACAATTTCTTAAGCATTTTCATAATTAAGTAAAGCACATCTTACATGGAAACAATGTCATGGCCATATGGTGCTTGGTTGGATCAATACCACATAGAATTTGCGACTTCAGCTGCAAAATGATACAATATTTACTATTGCCACAGAAAGCATATTTATATCATCACAAACCAATCAAATTATATAGATAATAGTGTACCAATGCTGAGAAACAAAACAAGAGAGCTAGATTTGACCTATGCTGCTAGCTTGTCAAACTCAATACGAGTATAATTTGCTTGAGCTTGTTTCTTTCTTAACTCCAATAGAAATGGTTAAGATACATGCCCACAGAATACTGTCCCCAAATGACATTAGGGAAAGCGAAATAGATACTGAAGTAAAAAGGATAGGGAAGGACTTATTTAACTAAAGACTAATTAGAAACACTACTACCTCTGCAACTACAATGAAATAAGTGGAAAGCTGAACAAAGAAATTTTACCTGAAAAGTGTGTGAATATCAGTTGTTGTGAGGAATCCTCTTCCATGGACATTAAGACAATGAAACAAATAAGTTAACCCCTATGGAGTGTCTTTGTTTTCTAGGGCCAGAACAAAGTCGAGAAAACTCTCAAAATCCATCTCTCGAACATTATTTCCTCCACTTTTGCCAGAGTGGACATGCTTATCAAATGCTGTTAGCAAACCGAAGCCAACAATGAACAAAAGGTTAATAAAACAAAATGCAGAAAACCAATTTATTTTGAATATATTCCAATTATTGTAACAAGTAGCAAAATTTCCAGGTTAAAGCACAGCTGATGAAACGGTGATGTTTTTTTTTTTGGAGTTTGGACAATGTAAATGACATTCCATGTCACTTTCTAATGACCACAAGAGACATCTTTATCCTTAAGATTAGCAAACATTGCAAAATGTTACAATCAATTCTAATAAAATTAAGCAAAGATAGGCCATCCTTGGAATTCTCAAATGTTGCTTTTGTAATCAATCTCAAGCCAGATGTTAGAGCCCCTGTTGTAGCCAAACCAACAAGAAAAGACTTGAAGAATAAAAAACAAGAAAGCTTATATCAAAACTAGATTAGATAAGAGTGGAGGTAAAAGTTGTTGACGCAAATAAGCTAACCACAAATACTAACTTGCATGAACTCGGGAGCATGAATGAAAGATCTCCAACCATTCCACCTTGAACATGAGCATCTGCAACTCCAAAAGCACCGCTAATGATACATATTCCAATATAAGTCCCAATTCCTCCTTCTTCACATGTAGCTAAATCCAGCTGTGGCAATACAATGAAAGATGGAATCAAAGTAGACTTGTATGCTTAATAATTTGAATTTGAGTTACTAACACATGTTACTACAAGACCATATGGTTAAGGAGTAAGTTGAAGATGTAATACATATAATTATGGTCTTTACAACAAGAGCAGCAAGAGCACTTATGAAAAAAAAGGATATATCCAAATACGTTTCTTCTTCTGGTATTGATTTTTGCCTTTTTGTATGTCAGTATTGCAAGTGTCCCAAGTGCAAATGGTTGATATACAAGAGTAAGGACCCTTGAGGGGTTTTTTCCCTCTCTCAAATTTGTAGTGATTTTCCTGGTGACTACGAGAAGTTTAATATAAGGAATATAGGACACAACAAATATTTAATTAAAAATTGTAGTAATAGCAAATATATAACTGCCCGTCTGCTACCATCCTGTGATATCCTATTTATCTTTTCAACTTCTGCAACTCTAAAATAGAACTGGAACTGAGGAAGAGTTATTGAAATGTAGAAAAACACAACCACAAACACATATCACTAAATCAAAAATTGAATAGTAATAATATCCAGAAAATACCTAATAATTCCTTGATCAACAAATCGATTTAAGGTTTAGCAAAAAAAAAAAAAAAATCAGAATCAGGTATTTATGAGTAAAACGATCAAACGTTTTGATGCTTGGCAGTTTGCAACCGAGAAAGAGAAGAGAGGGCCAAACTACAGGCTCGATGAGGAGACGTGGAGTTTCCTATTAGATTAGAAAGAAAGAAAATGATCAAAACAAATAAAATCATCAAAATCGAAGCAAAATAAACAAAGATTTAGGTGAATGCTAAGAGCTGAGAGAATTCGGAAATTGAAAGGATTGATAAAGAGAGAAATCAAGTGAATTGATATAGGTATCGAGAAAAGAAGATGAAGATCGGGAGTCATACCATGATGATTCTTTGAAGCAAATCGAGAGGTCCAACAACTTTTTGGTGTTGAATGGTGGCCTAGGGTTTGCGTTTGTGTGAATGTGAATGTTAGAGACAAAGAAACAGACGGAAACTTAGAGAGAGAGAGAGAGAGAGAGAGAGAGAGAGAGAGAGAAAGAGAGCAGAGAGAGAAACAGAGGATGCTGATTGTGCCATAATGGCTTCCTTTTAGAAAACAAAATTTCTATCTCAGGCTTTTGTTATCCGTGCTTGTGTGAATGTTGAGTTTTTCTTTTTTTTTTAAATCTAGAGAGAAGTCTGAAAGTTTAGGGATAAGTGGGAAGGGAGGGAGTATAGGGGAGAGGGTGTACAAATTAGGAATAAAGTTTTTGTGACCATTTTCGGGGCAGTCGCGTATGAGCAAAAATAAAATCTTTTGTGACGGATTAACAAAGGGCGTCACAAAAAAATATAAAACTCGCAAGGTATATTAAAAAAAATTTACGACGGGTAACGTACCGTCGCGTATAATATTACTTTTTGCCACGGTTTTAGATTTTTCGTCTCTAATAATGGTATTTATTCAGACCTTTTTTTTTAAAAAAATTTAGATATACCTAATATAAATAGACTTAAAAAGTATAATATTTGTGAATTTTTTTTTAAAAAAAATCACTAAATACTAAAAATACAAATATATATATATATATATAAAAATTCGGTATATTTTCATATTTTTGTGTATTTATTAATTTTTATTTTTTTTTATAAAGATTTTAGTTTTTAGATACATCTAAGTTAGTGCATCTAAAAAAGTAAAAAAATTACTTAAAATTTTAAAAATATTCACTAAAAACAAAAAAACACGAAAAATAAAAAACTCAATTTTAAAAAAATTGAATCTAGAAAATTAAAATCAAACACAATATATGAATTAACGACTTACATAGTATGTATGAAATGTATGTCGTCTTAAGTGCAAATATTTTACGATATGAAGTGTATGTCGTCTTAAGTGCTAATGTTTTATGACATATTTTTTTATGTCGTGAAAATATATTTTTTTACGACATACTTTTACATGCTATAAAAAAAATTGATTTAAAATTTTTGCCAGTAGAAGTTTTCACGACATGTTAATGCATGCCGTGTAAAGTTATAATATTCTATGACATGAAATGTATGTCATCTTAAGTGCAAATATTTTACGACAGATTTTTGTAAGCCGTAAAAATATATATTTTTTACGGCATACTTTTGCATTCCATAAATATATGAATTAACGACTTACATAGTATGTATGTCGTTATTGACAAAGCATTAACAGCTTGCAAAAAAAAAAAAAAGTCTTAAAATGTACCAATTACGACATGCATTTAATGCATGCTGTAAACATGATGTCGTAAATAGTTAGTTTTGTTGTAGTGATAGTAAATACACAAAAAAAAACTCTCGCTTCGAGTTCTCCCAAGCTATTATCTTGGCAGAGGCATATCATCAGCACTTGAAATGTTTGTCCCACATGGGGTGAGCCAAAATCCAATAGAAATGATCCAACATAGTGTATGAATCTTAAAAAAGCTATAAGGTGGATGCAAATGCAATGCACATACCGAAAACATTTTATATCTCCTTCAAAATCATGTAATGCCAGGTAACATCAAAATTCATAAAACATTCTCCTTTCAATGGAAACACAGGGTAGTGAATCATATCTCGGGGGATCTCTAAAGTAAGTATCACATTTCATAGAAATTTCGTTCGCTGGAAACCGTAAACCGGCACCCATGTAAATGTAGGCTATACAAGTACTACTATTGCCATTTAACGAATATTTCATCCGCTGGATCGGCACCCATGTACACATGCGGTTTTCGGGAATTTCACCATGGACACACATGCCAACTTATTTGATGTAATAACCACTCCTTTCCAGATTCACCCCTTTCCTCAAAACAATATACATTTACAATGTATAATTATAAAATAATGACCGATGCAACTGAATGAGAAAATAATTTCAATTCTCCTAATTTTCATGCAATTTCTACAATAATCATAGCTATCCTCCACCGATAGCCCAAAACAGATATTTCTAAACAGGTAATTAATATTCCATAAAAATAAACTTCCCAAGTTTCAAGGGGTGAGTGATAATACATACCCAACTTTGCCATCCTCATTAATACCAATCCAATATCATAATTTCAACATCAATTTCATTATTTGTATAAGATTAATATTTGAGACATTAATGGAAAAATTTATTTTCTTTCCAAAATCAACCCCAAGTATCAAAATTAACCATTTCATCCCAAATCAACATTATTTCCAAAATAAAAATCATTTCCAAGAATCCATGTGAAAAACCCCTCATTTTGATTTTTACCCAAAACCCTAGATTTGTTCCAAATCTTCCAAAAATCTCAATATTGATTAGAAATAACAAATAGCTAAGTTAAAGCTCATAGAAAGAGTGGAGATATCCCTACCTCAAGTTTAGGAGACGAGAGAGAGAAGAAAGATACTTCAAAGACACTGAAACCTAACTTTTCTCTGATTAGAACGAAGCCCTCGCCAAGTTCTATCTTTTTAACAAAGGGATACGGGTGAAGAGCTTAATGGATATAGGTGTATTTCCAGAGAGAAGGTGAGTTTTAGAGAGAGAAATGGCCTCCACTTAAGATTTTAAAATGTTTAGAGGGATAGAGAGATGAAAAAGTGATGTAAAAAGCGACTTTTACGGACTGATATACGCATAGACCACTTGAGCGTAGGAAGTGCCGCTTAAGCATCCAGACAAAAAAGATGTGACTGCTCGAGTATAAGAAACTTCGCTCGAGCACATAATACAAACTCCTAGAAGTTTTAAAGACAGAAGACCATTGCTTGCTCGAGCCGACACCGCTCGAGCGTAAGAAGCATCGCTCGAGCGTAGAATAACACTTCCCAGTACTTTTGCAGACTTGCAAAAGTACAGAGAGTTCACAAAGACCGCTCGAGTGCAAGTAGTAACACTCTAGCGAAGGAACAAAATTCTGGGCAACGTCATCACTTGTATTATAATGATGTTAGTAAGCATCCTTTGAAACTTGACAGATTTGGAAGATGGACTTGGTTCATCCCTTGACTTGCACTATTATGTTATGTATTGTTTGATAAAGATCTTGAATACCAGTCATGCAAACCCCTATATTTCTTATACCATTTACTGAGTATCCAAGCTCACCCTCTCTATATATATGTAGGTGATGAGCAGGAAGGCGGTGACGCCTAGGTGTGACTCGCAGGCTTATTTTGGGTTTTTGTCATGTCGGCTTAATTTGTATACATGTCGGCAGTCTTGAAAACTATGCTTCTCGGCTTATAATGTCTGCAATTTACACATGTCGGCTGGAGAAGCCTTTTGATCAAGATGAAAAATGTATTTTGTGTTTCATTGTATTGTATTCAAGTTGTAATACTATGTAAAGTTGTATGCCATTCCATGTAACTTACGCACTGCTCTTATGGACCGCTTGTATTTTTAAATTAATGATTCCGCACTTGTGAGCCCTATATATATATTTATACTCTGATTGTGTGTGGATTTTTTTGGAGGTTGGCCTTCAGTAATCCCGGATTACTGGCCATCACGGCACCAAACTAGTAGGGGCAGTTTGGGGTCGTGACAAAATAGGTTTGGATATTTCTCATGAACTTCCACTTCGCGCTCCTAAGTGGCCTCCTTAACCCCGTGGCGTCGCCACAACACTTTTACCAATGGAATCGTCTTGCCTCACAAGATTTGGTCTCGAGTATCTAAAACTTTAATTGGCCTCTCCTCATACGAGGCATCCTCGTCTACCTTTAACTCCGTCTAATCCAACACGTGTGATGGATTCGGCTTACACTTCCAAAGCATACAGATATGGAACACGTCATGAACCTTGGAAAGCTGTGGCGGCAAGGCCAAATGATAAACTACCTCTTCAATCCGCTCTAGGATCTCGAAAGGTTCAATACGAGGGGATAACTTCCTACTCTTCCCAAACCTCATCAAACCCCGTTTAGGTGATATTTTCAAGAAGACGTGATCTCCTACCTCAAAGAATAACAGTTTCCTCCTACAGTCAGCATAGCTCTTCTGACGACTCTAAGCCATGACCAACCTCTTACAGATAAGTGCAACTTTCTCCATCGTTTCCCGGACTAACTCTGGACCCAACATAGGTGCATCATCCATTTCGGCCTAACACACAGGAGATTTACATGGTCAACAATACAAGGCCTCAAACGGTGCCATGCCAATACTCGACTGGAAAATCTTATTTTAGGCAAACTCCACTAAGGGCAAGTGCCTCTCCCATGACCTCTTAAAGTCAAGGACACAACCACGAAGCATATCCTCGAGGATCTGAATAGTACGCTCAGACTACCTGTTAGTCTAAGGATGATAGGCGGTACTAAAAATCAACCTAGTGCCCAAGGTATTTTGTAGGCTCTGCCACAACCAAGCCGTAAAACGTGGATCTCTGTCCAAAACAATAGTCACAGGGACTTCATGGAGTCGAACAATGTCCCTAATATAAAGGTTGACTAGATAATCTACCAAGTCACTCGTACACATAGGTACAAAGTGTACTGACTTGGTTAATCGGTCAACTACCACCCAAATGGCATCATTACCCCGTTGGGTCCTCATAGACCCACAACAAAATCTATTGTGACATGCTCCCACTTCCACTCAGCTATAGGCAAGGGTTGTAACAAATCTGTTGGCCTCTAATGCTCAGCCTTCACTTGTTGATAAGTAAGGCACTTCGATACAAACATGGCTACGTCCTTTTTCCCCTCTTTCCATCGTGATACATCTTTGTGCCTCCCGGGTGCACCGCAAGGCGTGAATGGTGAAACTCTCCGAGTACCTCCTCTCGACAAGACTTCGACATGAAAAGACGGTCAAGGTATCTAACACTCCAGTTAGAATACACGCTCAAGCCCTTCTCTACCTTTCCACTAGAGATCTTCTCTCAGAGGGTCTACCTCAAGGTCACTCCTCTGCGCTTCTATAACGCGGCTCACAAGTGTAGGTTGTGCAACTACTAAAAACAAAGCTGCCGACTCAACGAACTTGCCAAGACGCAAGTCAAACTCACCAATAGCACCGAACATCTCCCATTCTCGGATGGCAATACAAGCTACACTGTTAATGGATTTCCTACTCAAGGCATTGGCCACTACATTGGCCTTTCCCAATTGATAGTGTAACTCAAAATTATAGTCTTCCATAACCTCCATCCACCTCCTCTGCCTCAAATTTAGATCTTTC